TATATATATGGTATTCATAGATAGATAACCTAACATTTTCTAATTTTGAGAATCCGTAATAATAATCACAGAGCCGTGACCAGTGTGGCTCAGTTGGTTGGGCATTGTCCCATGCACCAAAAGGTTGCCAGTTGGATTCTTGGTCAGGGCACGTGCAGAGGTGGCAGACTTGATCTCTGGTAAGAACATGCAGGTGGCAGCCAATTGATGTTCTACTCTCGCATTGATGTTTCTCTCTTGCTCTTCCTCTCCCTTCCTCTCTCTCTAAAAATCAATAAACTATTTTTTAAAAAATCTAACTCTATATATGAATTTAAGCATTTCAAATGCCCCCCCCCCTAAAAATGCATATAAAAACACTAGGTTTCTATCACTTAGAGATTTATGTAACATAGCGGGACCAACAGAAGAAAACTAATACATGGCATTATATATAAATTTTGCTGTTACATAAGTATGCTTTACTAGTAAACTTCCATCTAACAGAATGTAAGAGATAACAAGCTCCCCCCCCCCGCCCCGCGCCCCATCTGAACTATTTTTTCCTCTTTTTCTTTTATTCATTTTCAAATACAGCAAAATATTTAGATTTGACAAAGCTGATGGATGGGCACATTTTCAAAGTCCCCATGTATCTTGCTGTCAACATCTGGTAGCTATCTCCTCACATCTCCTTGAGCCAATTTTCCTGGCTCATCAATCCTTTGCCCACCCACTGAAGTCTTGTCCCCTCGGGCCAAAAATGTAGAGATCAACATGCTGGGCCTGAGGCTGGAGAAAGTGTGGGTCCTCTGCCTCTCTGCTGCCTGATATCTTAGTCTTGTCTTTCAGGAGTTGTGATGTTTGAGTGTGTGGGGATGCGCTGGCGATGTGGGGCAGGAGACTGGCGATAGGTGGTTCTGCTGCATGACCACGGCCTTGTGACACAAAAGGAGGAACTCACAAACCGAAGCTTATTACAGCTTTTGAAGTATTTCAATTTGCTTCCCAATGCTCCACAAAACATTAGCATTTTAAGAGATACTCGTAAGTGTCATGTGAAAATAACCCATGCCAGCTCTGGCCAGTGTGGCTCAGTTGGTTGAGCACTGCCCCCTGCACCAGGAGGTTACCGGTTCGATTCCCGGTCAGGGCACATGCCTGGGTT